TCTACAAGCTCGAAAATCGCAACTTTGTAGTACAAGTCTAGTACGCGAAGCGCACTTCTACATCTCCAGCTCGAAAATCGCAACTTTGTAGTACAAGTCTAGTACGCGAAGTACACTTCCGCATCTCCAGCTCGAAAACCGCAACTTTGTAGCACAAGTCTAGTACGCGAAGTACACTTCCGCAGCTCCAGCTCGAAAATCGCAACTTTGTAGTACAAGTCTAGTACGCGAAGTACACTTCCGCAGCTCCAGCTCGAAAATCGCAACTTTGTAGTACAAGTCCACGCGAAGTACACTTCCGCAAAAAATCGCAACTTTGTAGTACAAGTCTAGTACGCGAAGTACACTTCCGCAGCTCCAGCTCGAAAATCGCAACTTTGTAGTACAAGTCTAGTACGCGAAGTACACTTCCGCAGCTCCAGCTCGAAAATCGCAACTTTGTAGTACAAGTCTAGTACGCGAAGTACACTTCCGCATCTCCAGCTCGAAAATCGCAACTTTCTAGTACAAGTCTAGTACGCAAAGTACGCTTCCGCAGCTCCAGCTCGAAAATCGCAACTTTGTAGTACAAGTCTAGTACGCGAAGTACGCTTCCGCAGCTCCAGCTCGAAAATCGCAACTGTGTAGTACAAGTCTAGTACGCGAAGTACACTTCCGCAGCTCCAGCTCGAAAATCGCAACTTTGTAGTGCAATCCTAGTACGCAAAGTACACTTCCGCATCTGGAAAATCGCAAGTTGGTGTACGCGAAGTACACTTCCGCAGCTCCAGCTCGAAAATCGAAACTTTGTAGTACAAGTCTAGTACGCGAAGTACACTTCCGCATCTCCAGCTCGAAAATCGCAACTTTGTAGTGCAAGTCTAGTAAGCGAAGTACACTTCCGCATCTCCAGCTCGAAAATCGCAACTTTGTCGTGCAAGTCTAGTACGCGAAGTACACTTCCGCAGCTCCAGTTCGAAAATCGCAACTTCTCAGTACAAGCGTCGTATTTACGAAGCACACCTTGGCAGCTCCAGCTCGAAAGTGGCGACTCGCCTTCTCGTTGCACGGTGGCCACGCAAGGGTCCCACCCTAGCTAAGTTGCAACTGCAGGGGTTATTATAGAGCCGTGTGTTAGCTAAGGGTTATCGTTTTTGGGGGAGACCTTATCGTTTTCCATGGTTTTGGCATGTGTTATGCAAAAACGTACCCCGCCTTGATAAAGTGGTCTTCGTGTGTTTTGCATACATATATACATGGATAAGATGCCCCTCACCCAGAAGCCATCTGCACGTCTCTCAGCTCCGCGCCACGATCTCCGGAGCCACGGTGTCAGGGGAACCCAACCGGTCCCCCAAACCTTCTCCTGACAACAGAAAACGTTTGGGCCAGCAGCCTTCCTGGGATTCGGGCCCAAGGGTCAAAAGCCAAATCGTAGCCCCCGTGAACCTTCCCAATCCAACCACTAAAATATCCAACCACTAAAATAGGTTCTAAAATGGGTGCACCTATCCCAAAATGGTAGCATTGGTTTTGAACCATGGCCGCATTTACCCAAAGTTCTCCCCTTGTGGATTCCGGAAGGTTGTGGATTAAGAGTAGCTGGCGCGGTTATGGAGATCAGCTTGGTTGCTTGAGTCCATTTTGGGTTTGGACAATTGAGACAAACCGAGCTTCGAAGGCAACCCATGTTTTGAGACTCCTTTGTGGTCGGACGAAGCCCCGTGTTTTTGTCCGATGGTTTCAAGGGACAGTAAACCAACAGGAAATTGTCACATCAAGATAGTAATCCGGCCTCCATGTTTTTATTCTCGAAAAGGGAAACCAACGGGAGACTTGGGGCCCAGCTTTCTCTTGGGGCATTTCCTGGGTCTCACAAAACATTGGCCTACGCAAGTTTTCCACAACCTGTGGCTCTTCCTGAGAGAAAGGTCTATGGAAAAGCCGCTTGTGGATCCAAGCCTCCAAGTGACAGATTCCCTTCAAAACCAACAGGGGAAAATCAAACACAGTTGTTCAGTGACCCTGGAAAAAAGGGAACCCTTTTTTGGGAAGACCATTTTTAGTGGGGCAGCCACCAACAAAAAGGGAAAGCAGGTGCCACTGAACAACTGAGGAATCCTCTTCTTCAACAAATGGGTCCAAGGATCACGCATGCCCCGTCCTGAATCGTGGGCCGCGAAGCCGAAGTCGCAAAGCTTAAAGATCTGGCGAATGCTTCGCCCCACGCGACGGGCCGGGCGTTGCACGCGGAAGTGGACAGAACCTCTATGCTTCACCCGCCATACTCTGGCCAGATGTCACGTTGAGAGACTAGAATAACAAGCCAAAAGCCCAAGCTCTCCCAAAGGTGCCCGTACACTTCCATGTCCGGTGGGAGGGTAACAGGAGCGTAAATCGGATCGGAGCATCCAAGCTTGCGGCCATCCCATGCAATCAGCTCCGCAACAAGTTGAATGAACCGCCTCCAGGAAGCTCTCCAGGACATCTTAAGCAAGGTTTGCGGGGCCATATAACGGTGTGTTTCTTGTCAAGGAGAACTTTCTTTCGGCAACCCCTGCAAAAAGGCCCGTTTTGGTCTTGTTTGTCCTTGTCTCAATCAGGCTTACCGACCCTTGACCCTTGAGGGGTGCTTCCCCTTAGCCTACACGAGTTTGCTGTTGAGGGAGGGTCCTCCGTCTGAGTTTGTACTACACAAAGGACATGACCACCAAGTAATACACAAGTGTTCAAGGCAGCAAGGATGGCAGTGCCTTACCCAGAAAGGTTCACAGGGGCACCGAGCAAATCTCCGAAATATGAACCATGAGGTGAAGGGGTCTTAGACAGCCCGAGTTGCCAGCTGGCGCGTTGCCAGCCCCCCATCTTCAAGGCTCGAGCCCCAACAGGGCTCCCTAGATTTCCCGTTGAAACATCACCACAAGGGACACTCACCCTTCATGGGCCAAAAAGGTGATGTTTAAATCCAGGGGACATATTGGAATCGACCCCTGCCTACTGACGACTTCAATCTTCCATTTGCTTAAGCCTCCCGAACGAAACAGTACTTCCAGTAGTGATAGATTCCCTTAAACGATCTTAAACGCCAACAGGAGAAAATCAAGCATATTCAATGGAAACCAATCCTTTTCCAATCGGGGATGTAGGGAGTCCATTTTGGGGCGAAAGCCAGGCTTCCGGCATTCTCTTCCACGGGTAGGTTGGTGTGCTTCAGCAGGATGTTCTCGCACTGCGGACGGAAGCGGACGGAAGGCCACAGTCATAGCTCCATGTGCTTCAACGAAAATAGGCGCTTGCCCTTCTTGCCAAAAATACACACCAACGAGTAGAAGGCCAACTCTTCTTGAACACTGGTAATTGGGGAAAAATCAACCAATAGGAAATCATCACCATGCAACTGAATACCTCTAACAATTGTCTTTGTTTCAGGAACCCTCCTGAAGCTATTGCCCTGGTCAGGCGAACCAACTCAGCGTTTTGGATTGAACTTGCAAGAACAACAGGGAACTCAGCTTCCACGAATTGCTGGCTCGGAATCAAGACCTGGTATTGAAGGCAGTCTACCCAACACTTGTGATAAAGAAAGCAAAGGGAAACTTGCGGCCCCTCTTTCATGTTGGGAATGCTACTAAATTGTATCTTACAACGTTTTGATTGTGACTCACTTGATTGCATGCCTTGTAGTTTATGGCTCTTGTGGCATACTGCCGCCATCCAATGTGGCGTCCAGCAGCTGCCTTCGCTCGACCCTACTTCAATTGAACAGAAGGATCCACCGGGTCCTTTCCGCGAATGGAGATTCCTGTAAGCTTGGTCAGACTGAAGCCCCAACCAAAGGTTGACTTTTTGCTCGTTGAAAGGGACATGAAGGAACCCCACAAGGGCAAAAGGGCAAACAGGTGAAATTAAGATCTGTAAACTAAATAGCCAAGTCCGGCAATGTAAACACGAGCCCAGTAATTGTTAGAAGACATGCTCTGCCAAGCCCTGTGCTCAAGCGCAGTCCGCGCTGTTTCTTTCTCCTTCTTTTTGGCCCGTGCTCGGCTGCCATCTGACCTTGGCAATGCACCAACAGGAGGTGCCGAACAATGATCCTCTTCCATCCCCTTTCGGTATTCTTCATCGAAATTATGCGGCACATCTTCAAACCACGACTCAAACCCGAGCCACCTGTCCAAATCTGGTGCGCCAAATGGAGGGCCTGGAAAAAATACATTCAGCCATGTCCTACACGTGTCACAATCTGCTATGTCGACGAGTTTACGACACATGTGGAGGTTTTGCTTCCGCCACTAGCTCATGCCACCTTACGAGTGTGGAGTTGCTTGCTTACTCACAAGTCGATATGACGCAACTCTTGCTAAACATCCTGTTACAGCCATTAAACAACGGGTAGCAACCCAAAGAAAGACAGACCCAACTGAAGTATTTAGGATCCTGAAGATTACAATTGCAGCTTTCGTGTGACCGCCTGCTTCAAATGCCCAAGTTGCTTCCTGAGTTCGAAGGATAGGGAACGGCCAGCCGGTTGCTAGCCGGCGACCGGAAATCCCCGGCTGGCTCTTTCTGCTGGGGCCCCTGCTGACCACCTAAGCGATGGCGAATTCGGTCTCGCCATTGAAACAGAAGACCATTGAGTTCAAGCCCGGAGTTCAAGTGAACCGCTCACCAGAAGGGATGTGGGTCCTTGTTCAAAACCGCCCCCAAAAAGGACACCTTATCGTGGAAATGAGGCGAAAGGACGGAGTGAGTTCCAAACCTCAAACTCAACGAAGACAACAAGACCCACGCAAAAAGGCAAAAACCAAACCAACGGAAACGCTGAAGAGCGCGCGCCTCGCAGCAGCCGCCACACTAGCAGCGCCAGAAGGCCTCACGACCAAACGTTAGTCGACCGACTCCAAGGAGGAATTCGAACCTGTGACCCGACGATTCGAACCTGTGACCCGACGTGACCACGCGGGGCCGGCGAAACTTGTATTTCTCCCGACCCCCCCAAAAAAGCTCTTCGGCAGTCCTTGGCTCATTGGAAAATGGACGAGGGGGCGCTAGCCTGCGGGCTGCGGGCCGCAGCTCTATCGCAAGTGGATCTAGAGGTTGCTCTTTCTTGGCTTGCAAATGGGTCGCCATTTCGGAAACCAATCCTCCCATGGCCCAAGTCGGAAGACATTGAATCTAGTTTGTTGTTGGTGGATTTCAAGTGCTGGACCCAGTGCTTCCATTTACCACTGTAGGTGGTAACCAGATATATTTACCTCTGGGCCGTACACGATGGTTTTCATATGTTTCGCCTGGTGACCCACTAAAACAAGGTTCCCTGTACTTCCCCCATAAGCATCTTCCCACCCAAACACAACTCACTTTTGGAGGGCCGAAACTGCGATGGGTAAGCATCGTTGAAGAAGAAACCCTGCCTGGGCTGAACCAAGGGACGGATTAAGGATTGCCTTTGACCAGCCTGTATGGGAAATAACACCGCACGTGTCCACGTACAAAACATCAGGAATGCTCCAAATCACGCAGGTGGGTTGTAGCTAGCTACGCGAAGGATTCGCCCTACAAAACCCTCACGGGAACCCAAAGTTTGGGAGACCCAACGCGAACAAACTTGCTGGTGCGATAGGTAGGGAATGACCCTTCCGGGTGTTGGAGGAATGAGCCGGAAGGGGGGTTCCCTTATAAAGGAAACCAAATCGGTTGGAGGGTGTGTCTCGTTCCCTTAAAGGAAACCATAGGTTGGATGGTTTTTCCCCGGGTCCTTCCATTTCTCCTTCGCCGAGAACGAACCCGCCAGCCACCCGCCCCCCCTCTCCCGGCGTCTCGCCTGCGCAGGCCAGCGTGAGACCTCCGGCCAGCGCTGGGCTACGCCACAGGGACCTGAGCTGGAGAAGCGGCTGCTGGGGACACCCGAGGTGGTTTTGTTTTCTTTTGGCTTCCCGTTAATGATCTCCATAACCGCGCCAGCTACTCTTAATCCAGAACCTTCCGGAATCAAGGGGACGACTTTGGGTAAATGTGGCCATGGTTCAAAACCAATGGTACCATGTTGGGGAAGGGGGCAGCGACCCAGAAAGGGAGAACTCCCGAAAAAGACGAGGCCCCCATTTTCAAGACACATCGTCTCCCTTGATACAAAAAACAAAGGTCAGCCAACACTCTACACGTTCACTTTCTTCAAATAAGGTCGCGTTCTATGGCCACGTCTAAATTACCAACGGGATCCATGACAGTTCATCCCGCGGCTCTGTTGAGAGCGCTGAGAAACTCAGAGGCCAGGATGGGGCTACAAGTGGCCAGATTTTGTGAATGGTTCCAGTTTGGGATGGCAACAAAAGCAAGCCCTTCATGGAATGGGATGAATTCACAAATGGAACTTGGCAGCTCGAACCAGCAATAGAACTTAGGCTTCCGATTGGACTCCTCTTGGGTGCGGCCACTGAAAGCTTAGCAACAACCCTCTCATTTTGCACCATCCTGTTGGAGAACACATTCCCGATGCGGCAACCCACATTCCATCTGAGACAAGAAGACTCCACGAGGCCTTCGGTTTCAAACCTCCGAAACAGGACTCGAATGACTCAAATGCATGAAGGCGACAAGAAGGATTGATCATCGCCTGCGAGGGGTCGTTGCTCGGAGAATCCCTGTTGATTTCTTTGAGAACAGCATGTATATTTATGTATATATAGATATATATAGCACACAAATATATGTTATGTGTATACATATAGAGAGAGAGAGAGAGGGAGAGAGAGAGAGAGCAACATCTGCAGCTCACTTCTTGAGCTGCCAACTCAACTTGCCATCACTTCGACCACGAAAACCAAACAAACACACAATTCCGAGAAGTATAAAGTTCAGGAACTGGGCTCCACACTTCTTGTCGCAAACCACCGTCCAAGAACGCAGTGAGCCAACGGGGGGTGCGCTTAGCCGTTCTTCCCTCGCCAGGCCGCAGCTTTGATCCCAGGATCTCCACCTGCGAAAGGGACCCAAACTTTCGATCGGAGTTCGCTCGGAGTGCGCCGGCGAAAGGAACCTGAGTTCCACATGGCCAAGGCGACGCTAAAACTCAGGCAAGGAGGGGAATTTACCAGGATTTTTGATCCAGGCTGTTGAGAGATTGAGTACTTCCGCATGTTTGGCACATGCCAAAAGGTGTTTGTATCGTATTCTGGGCTACGGAACAACTCCTGAGAAGAGTTCTGCCGGGTCGCTGTTTTCCCGTGCCTCCCACACAAGCCTTTGACATAGAATTAGAACCAGATGTTCCCAACCCAAGCCTTGGCCTTCCCAGGCTTCCGCTCATTGCCCCTGTACCGCGCCTCGTCCGACATCGCACCATCCTCGCGCAAAAGCTCGTTAAGGACCTGGCGGAACAGCGGGATCTGATCATGGCGCTGAGATCTGCAGCGGACGACATCTTGCACCAGTTGCGTTGGTGGGTTGTCCAGTACTCACAGGGGTTCATCCATCCCAAACTGGTGCAAGATTTTGTCCATCCACAGCATAAACAAAATTCCATGGAATCTGTCACTGAAAGGAAATGATGCCCCATGGTCCAGCACCCCTCCTGTCAAGGGGACTTTGACTCTTAGATCTCAAACAAGATATCTGTCTCCCAGGATCCTTCACGGGGCAGAAGACATCGTTTCTGTTTGTTGGGGCATATAGTGAAAATCATCCAAACCAACCCTCTTTCCGTACATGATTTCACTTGCACCCCCCCCCCCCCCCACAAAAACACACACACACACAGTTTTTGGATGACCATTCTATGGGCAAGCTTGTTCTGGCCAACCCACTCAAGTGAGTCTCAAGTGAGTTGGATACCAGAGACATCTTTGCCTTTGACTACAATGACGGTAAACCTTTGAATCTTAATTAGGGTTGAGCTATGGCCAAGGTCATTGCGCCATGCTGGTTTGATTGGCAGGCGCATCACGCCTGTTTTCACCCCGTTTGAAATTACGTACGCTCGGAAACCCCTCCACATGGTTGATTGCAGCGCTTTTTTATTCACGACGACCAAAGGGGGGGGCTCATTTTGAGGCACACACGAGTTGCTCTGTCTGAGTACTTTGTAAAAGCTGATCAAATCATTGCGTGTTCTTTCTTAAGCAACGTATGGAAGGGGGGGTACCCCCAAGAAGGCCTATTCAGCATTAAAAAAAGCTTAGTGGTTTGCATGGAGCCGCCTCCCCTCCAAACCACAAAACAAATAACAAATTCAAGGGGGCGGCTAGGAAGCGCCAAGAAAAAGCAAGCCGAATATTTGCCCATTTTTATAAACATATTTTCCATGGGGGGGGGGCAAATGTGGGTAAATATGACGTACGATTTATAGGCATGGTCATAGTCAGGGCTGTGGGAAACGATCCTGGCGATTGCGCCAAGGGCGAGTGCGGAGCTGCTGCAGTTTGTCAAGACTTGGGCGCACGCCCCACCAGCGTCCGCCTAGACAATTAATTGCCTATTGTATGGCGCCATTCTAGGGCATGCCACCACGACAGACGTCTCACAGAAGTGGTTGGATAAACCCCGAGTGACCAACCACAACCCTGGTAAGGAGCCAATGGTCCTGCAACAGGACGCGGTCGCCGGGAATGATATGACCTACTTACACGGATTGTAGAGAAATTGGTCCGAATGGTCATAGCAAAGACTGGGCTGCCCTCAGATCCCCCACTAAACACTAAACAGCTAAGAGGCTAAGGGACCGGACGGTCATGCAAAACTTCCGTTTGGCTCAGGCCCCAGGAAAACATCAACATAGTTCCAGTAGTGATGAATTCCTCTTGAGACCAACAAGGAAAAATAAATTGAAAAACATATCCTTGAGCAAATGGAGGAAAAAGTAAGTCGTTCAAGCGAGCTCGTTGACCGAGTGAGCGGCCTCCAGCTGCCTGGCGCTGAAGCGCTCAGGTCCACTGGACAGCAGCTGCCTTGCCCGCGGGAACGCCAGCTCCTCGCTGCGAGGCGCCAGTTTTTTGTTTTTCTTCTTTCTGACGGAAGGAGATCAAAGAAATTGGGTTTCCGGGCTTCTTTTAAGGGGAGCCCCAAAACTGGTTCATGGTTAAAACTCAGTCGAGGTCATTTTAGCCTTTAAATCCGAAAACCCGGAAACTGGTGGTCGTTTTCCTTGCCCGGAATTAGGACCCCAGCAAAAAACTAGATGTTGTTTGCCTGGTTAGTGGAAAACAAAGGGGAACAGCCCAACAAAAAACGATAAAAAAGGGAACTTATTCTGGGGAAGATGGGCGGCTCGTCTTTTTTTGGGACGGGTAGTAACATGGCAATGTGGTGATGGAACTTGAAACGGTTTACCAACCAGGCAAGCCTGCCTGAAAACCTGGGCTGTCCTCAGATCCCCCGCTAACAGTTTAACTTTTACTGGGTTAAGTGGAAATCCCCACTAGGCATTAAGTGTCTAAGAAGCTAAGGGGATAAGAAATGAGGAAGCTCGGACGCTTTTGCGGTGGAACCACAAAGGAGCCCTGTGCTGAGCTTATAACTCCTCCTTTCTGGGCTACCCAATCTGACGACAGGTGATCACCTCTTGATTGGGGAGGCCTGTTTGTACTTTTCCGAACAAAGAACACAGGTAATCGGCCGGACGGAATGTTGGGGGGTGGACTGGTGGAACGGCTTGCTTCAAGCGTTCGGACGAGGCGCCCCAGCTTGAGTCATTCCCATGTGGATGCGAAAGCGAGCATTCGAAACCAGGATCCGAGTGGTCAGAAAACAAGTCCAGACTTGTTCACTAAAATGGCCTTCGCGCAATTCTCACTTGCTGAGTGGATGGCCCGAAAAAAGTTCAAACTTTGTATTTACCACTAAAATGGTCCCAACCCAAAAAGTTTAAAGTTCATGAACTCAGGAAGTGAGGACAAACAGTTGACAGTCCATCTGGAAAACAAACAAATCGCGGGCTGAGGGACCGGAGAAGAGAAGTACAGCAGCTTTTGCGCGTGCTGCTTGATGTGCAGTGGCCATTCACAGGTCAAGGACTAAAACACGAAAATAGATCCGGGAGCCTTGCCGAGTTGTTTGCCTTGATACTCTGGATTTGGACATGCGAATGCTGAGTCGCAAAGAAATCTGAGTGCAATCCAAAGCGTGCTGCAAGTCAAGGCTACCCATGCGAGGCTCTGATTTCCAATTTCTAGTTGCAGAATCTGCTGGCGGCTGTCTGGGGAAGTGTATGCGTAGCCAGGTTTTGGTCTTAAGAGTTGCAGCAAGTCGGACAGTCAGGCATGGGGCGCTATGAACATAGGGCCCCCCGTTGTTTCCGTTTGAGCTGTTTCCGTGCAGCGAGCGTACAAAGGGGGTCTCGTCTCGAAACCGCTCACGTAAGAGGCTAGGCTTCGTTCTTGGCAGGACGCGGAGCGGACGTGACACACCGTAGTTCCAGCCACAGGCCACGACCGCTCCAAACTCACAGTGATTTTGGACCAAGGTTGGAACATTTCCTCCAAACAAACTGATGGCCCCTCACCAGCATAGAAAATCAACAGCCCCTCTTGGAAGACTACCTTCCTTTTTCACCTGGCCTCATGATCCCAGTCACCCCAAAAGTGGTAGGTTCAAGGGAACCAACCCCGATTTCTCACTTTGATATGACCCCCTGAAAAAAAAAAGAAGAAAAAACATAACCCCAATTTCTGACTTTGATATAACCCCCAGAAAAAAGAAAAAACAAAACAACAACAACATATGAACACAAAAATGCCCCCAAAAACTGCCCCCAACGGGCTGTGCACTTCCAACTTTGGGCCCCCCCCCCCCCCGGGGCGGCCCCCAAGTTCCGCGTCCTCGGCTCCGAAGGTCTGAGCTTCTCGCTGCCTGGCAAGCACTCGCTCAAGCCCGCACCGGAGCCAGCCGAAAAACCCGAAAACCCCACCCTGAGCGCTTCACCCTTTGAAACTCGCACCGACTGGGCGTACCACCCTACCAACATCTACCAACATAGTCTTTCTGACTTGGAAGTCCGACGCGTGCACAATTTCTGCAATTCGAAGCCGGATTGTTGGATTGTTGGACGTTCGACGCGATCCCCTGGCTGACGACTTTTGGCCAAAACAAATATGCTTCCCCTTGCACTGCCAGCGCGTTTGATGCGTGTCTGGCGAACATCCATCCTTTCACCAGCACACAAGCTCTGTGTAGCACCCTCCCTTCCTGCGCAATCACATTGCTACTTGTGATGAGCTTTGACGCGGTGAATCACGCATCGCACACATGTTTTGCTGTTGGTCGTGCTCAGATACGGGAACAGAAAAGAGGGCTTGGATCTATCTCATAATGGAAACGCGTTTCTGCATGGGTGTAAACGTGTTGCTGCATGGGTGTAGAACCAAATCGCAAATGGACCTGCCACAGCCATGCACGAAGGGCTTAGATTCGGCCTGATGTTGTGGTAGCACCTCACCAGCCAGGAGTGGAAAAGGTAGTTCTTGGCGTCGAACTGCGGAAACAGCGGCCAGGAATCGCATTCGCGAGTACAAGAGACCCCCAGGCAATGCCAAGTTCCTTTAGACACCCAACACAGAAAATGACAACTCTGCAGTTTTGAGAAACCTGTTCAAACAAATGTTCAAGCCAACCTGCCGGCCATTGCTGGTAAATACACTCCCGATTGAATGCTTGAGGAACCTGCTTGCGGGGGGTTCCCTCCTGCCAAGCCTGGAAGCGCACAACATCCTTCAGAAAAAACAAAACAAAACTGTCCATTCAAAAAGAACCCATGCGACACTTTAGACTGGCCGAAAAGCTGATGTTTAGGGGGAGTGTGGGCTTCCTGCTTCCCTGGGCCACTTAAAGGGAAACAAGCCACACCCTTGGAACCCCCCAAACATGTTCAACCACTTTCTGAGACCAATTTCGACTATAGCAGGCAACCAGGACGTTCTACTCCTGGATCATACTTTTCTTGCTTGCTTCATGGCTTCGCCGTTTGATTGCTTGCTTGATTGTTCTAGGGGTAACTTCCCCATTCTTTCCAGGGATCCTTCTTTCTAGAAACCCACCAAACACCCTGAAAATGGCTGGTTTTTGAAAAGAACAATGGCTGAAAAGAATGGAAAAGGAATCAACCCCTAGAATTGTTTGTCTCCCCTTTCGCCTTTTCGCCTTCAAACGCACCACTTCCATTCACCGCAGCAGGCTAGCAGTTCGCCTCGCCCAGCTCGGGCGCAAGCTGCGCGATGAGGCTCTGCACCTAGCGACCCAAGTTGAGGTGTTCTGTTCGATTTTACGGTGAGCTGAAGGCTTTTCAGGTCATGATGAATCCAGGTCCTTGACTTGGAGATCCCAGATTTATCAGGTTTTGGAATTCTAGAATTCGCAGAATTCTGGCAGGTTTGCCCTTTGTGGTGGACCCCCGGACCTGCTGTCTGTTGCCAAACCCTGTGGATGGCTGCGAAATTAACTTCGCGCTGTTCAGAAACCCAACGCAATGACGATTCCCCCAACGTAAATACCAACCAACGTTATGGTTTCAACCATGGTTTCATTAAGTGGTGCAGGATTTCGTCCAGAGTGCGAACACAAGGGGGGCACCCTCTACATATCGGTCGGCATCATCATCATCATCATCATCAGCAGCAGCAGCAGCAACAGCAGGAAGTTGTGGTCATCATTGCTAGCATTGTCATCATTGTCACGCAGCAGCTTCATGACAGCCATCAACGAACTTGCTGGCGTTGCTGCCATTGCCATCCTCCCGTTCCTCTGCAGGAGTTGCTGTTACATTTGCAGTTATCGTCGCTGCTGCCGCCGCCGCTGCTGCTATCAGTGTTGATCATCTGATTTGGGTTTTGGCGCAATCGACATGATCATTGGCACTGCTGCTCCGGCATCGGCCTTCATTCTTTATGGTCCTGGCATCGTGTGATTCACATCGCTGTTGGTCGGCTGAATGGGGCAACTGTAAATGTCCTGCAGGTCTCAATCACAATTCACCCACATGAAATATGCTGCCGAACCTTCCGTAAGGTCCGCCATATCTTCAAAAGCATACAGAACGTGTCGATCAAGACATGCCCTAACCAATTTTGACCGATCAGTTGCAACCGCATTATTTTGCCACCACTGGTTTCTTCCAGAAAACCTGCCTCCAGGCCCCAACCCGACCCGGCCACGGATGTCGTGTCGGCGCCTCCGCATCGTTGCTGGCAGCATGCTGCTTCACCAGCTCCATGCACGCCGACCTAAGTCTCTCAACCCTTCCGAGGCCAATCTCAGCTCACAAAATGACTCTTCCCCCCCCCCAAAAAAAGAAGAAATGATAGCATTGGGCGTGTCACCCCATTCCCCCCCTTCCCAAAAAACAAATGCACTAATAACATTGTGAGCCACTCTATGTCCATCCAGCTTGACTTCATCTTTGGTTGCATAGGGCCTAACTTGAGTCTTTCCAAATGAGCCAACCCTTTTGGGACTCATTACAGAGAAAAAGGATTTAGAGTGGAGTGGAACCCACTTAGGTCTGAGTCTCAAGGCATTCGCACGCGCTTCTCCACGTGCTGCAAATGTCCATCCTGCTGGTCGAGCACCTGCCCGCGCAACCTCTTAGGCTAGGTCCTCCAGTGAGAATAAGTTGGTGCCCGATGTTTCTTCTGTAGTCCATTTTAGTGGGGGAGGGTCAAAAAAGAAACGGTAAAAGGGAACCTGGCTGGGGGACCTAGTGGGGTTCACAGCATCTGCCGTTTCTAGGCAATAGAATGACTCGCTTGAGAGGCCTTGTGGGCTTGTTGGTTTTTCTTGGGTACCCGTTTTGTGGGTTGCTTCAAAGCAAAACCAAAAGAACCCAGCCATGTTGGCACAAACCCAGCCTCACGTACCTTCTCATGGAAGTGCAGTTGTCCCTGTTGGCAGACCACTGTTCCGGACATGGGAGTGTCCATCGAATTTTTTCAGTTAGAGGGGTAAGTCCCATCCTTAGGCATCACAACGTCACCTGCAACTGTGGTCAGCTTCTTCTATCCAGTTTCTAAAACGCATAAGCTGAGCGCATCACATTTCAGACATCGAAATGCTCCGGCTGACCGTCACTCTCCTTATGAACTCAAGGCTCAGCCTCAACACCAGTCCCGGTCGATTTGGGGGTGCGACATCCACGTGGAATTTGGGGACAGGTCAAACGGCTTACGTTTGGCAACGTTCACTGGTTTTGCACAAGAAGACTCATGATTGGATTTGGCAACCAGAAGGTGATGTTAGAGAGGGTCACTGGATTCCGCTAAAGTTCATCAATTTGGTGATTTCCGTTGAAACGATCGCCACTTTTAGAGAAAAAGGGAACACACATCGAGTTTTCGGGGCACCATGCCGTTCGGCTTTCCTTGAGTTGGCTTCCCTTTACCTTAACCAAAACGGGGGTACCCTCAAAACGACGACGGCTCGAGTCCAACTCGGGGAGTGACCGGGATTTGGGGATGCTGAATGGGGGGTCGAAATTTGCGCACGCGCCTCGTCTTCAGGTCCTGCAGCTGATTTCGAATCAATCTGGGGCCCTTCTGAAGACCAAAGGTCCCTCGCTTCTTCCGTGACAGATCAAGGATAAGCAGCCTGGATCGCCAGTTGCCGATTTTTTTTTCCCCATGCACTTTAGCCCAAAAACCAGCAAAAGGGACTGAGCAACTTGGCTATCTAGGAGTGTCCTTCTTGATTTCATGGATGGCACACCCTTGGCTTGAAATGAAGGATCAGCCAAAAGCTTTCTCCATGGATCGATCCAGGGTGTAACGTGCTACTGTGGCAACAATGCACCTGGCCAGTCCATAAACCAGGGAATAGCATCCCAGCAAAGGGTCCAGTTTTGGAACTCCGCACGTGTCAAAGGGAAGAACAATAATGCTCCAGCTGAGACTGTACACCTACTCTGCGTCAGTTTGCCCAGTAGGCTCAGTGGCATCTGTTTCTGGACTCGTTTGAATGAGACATGTGCTTCTAAAAATAGAGAACAAACGACACACAAACTCACTGGATGGCCTTTTTGGGGCGTATCCCATGTTGCTTGGTTTTGAGGGAAACCGACCGAAAACTCTAGTGGTAACTTCCCCATTCTTTCCAGGGATCCTTCTTTCTAGAAAACCACCAACAACCCTGAGGAAATGGCGATCGGTTGTTGAAAAGAGCGATGGCTGAAAGAACGGACAAGGCATCAACCCCCAGAAGAAAAAAAAGGAAGAACAACAAAAACAAGAAAAACAAACAAGAAGAAACCATTAAAGAAAAAAGGAAACACCATTTAAAAAAAAAAACGAAAGCCGCCCATTTTCGGTTCGGGTCCGACTCCCCAAAAAACACGAGGACGAGCCACGTGCCTGGCTCCGCGCCGTCCGCCTGGGTGCCGAGGAGGGTGGACGGGGCTCCACTTCTTGAGTACCTAGAGTCTCAATGACCCTTTAAAAAAAGTCCATGACCCCATTATTTAGGGTATTGACCCCATTTTCAAAGGGTCATGGAGACTCTAGGTAATTCTCTAGGGCTTGATTCTCTATTGAAAAGAACGATGGTTGAAAAGAATGGACAAGGAATCAGAATCTGATTCCTTTTTCCATTCTTTTCAACCATCGCTCTTTTCAACAACCAGCCGTTTTCCCTGGGATTCTGGAGGTTTTCTAGAAAGAAGGATCTCTGGAAAGAATGGGGAAGGTACCCCTAGAAGTTCAGGTGGACTTCAACCCATGGTTCATTACCCCGAAAAGGAGAAGGTCTGGGTTTTAGTCAAAAAGTGGAACCCTGACGGCGGATGCCGAAATATTGCAATCCGGCGATTTGGAGGATTTGTTTGGGGTCACTGGATTTCTCAAAACGGGAAAAATGGAGGATTCCCTTGTAACGTCCAGGTGGGAACCCTAGCGGGTTGCGACCCTACCCTAGATGTGTTCCGATATGCATATTTCAGAAGCCAGTAAATACCCCACAAACACTCACGAGAGCAACGGACAACACTACAGGCGCATCGAATTCATGGGTATTGGTCTTGGGCAGTCCCGTTTCGGCTAGTGGGAAACTTGTCAGGTATTCATGTGGGCTTAAAATAGGACATGTTCCTTCCAAGAACCTTGAATTGTCAGGCCCTTCAAACGCCTGAAGGCCAGCTTTAAGGTGGAAGATCAAGGCTGTTGATGCCCTAAAGACCGCACGTAAACCCAAATCAGCTGCAGGCACCCTGAGCTCCCACTTGAGATCCCCACCATTCGACTCAGCGAGCAAAGGCCGCGGCAAGCCAAGTGCTCTGCTTCCGAGTTGGCTGGCTGAGGGTGCAAACATCTGACCATGGCTCGTGATTGGAGCAACATGGACGCGACATCTGACCATGGCTTCGTGAGTCAACGTATCCTGGCTTCCGGCGATGAGCCAGGTGCGCGCTGTCTGACCTCCTGCTTGCGCTCAAACATCCCTCACAGCCTTCCTGGATTCCTCCCTTATGGTGCTTATTGATTTTTTTAGGGGGAACTCTATTAGGGAACGTTCCTTGCCAGGAAAGATCCCCAATGGAGGTCTAGTAGAGGTAGAGGGAAAAGAGCAACCTCCCTGGCCAGGAGCCTTTGGCATAGGCTTCACCCTGAAAACTGAGTGAACTCTTTTGCTCCGACCGCTCGCAGCGTCGCCCTGGCGGAGGGCGTGTTTTCTGGTTTTGTCTTCGCCGACCGGTGACCCGGTCAATGTTTTCGATCGGTCACTGAATTTTCTGGCTGTGCCCATTGAAACTGCAAGGAATGTCGAAACATGAAAATGGAGAAAACACTGATCTAGGATGCTACAGACTATCCTTTTGCAATCGGAACCCCTTCATTGCAGAACCCGACAACCCTAAGAGCCCTAGAAGTCCAGCGAGGTGAGCGTTGATAGCTTCATGTGTGCGCGCAACTGATGTGTCAGAGACCAAATGTGACCAGATTCGCAGAGTCTATCGAAGATGAGGCTCGTGTCAGACTCATGTCCAGAAAAAAAAAAAAAAAAAAAAAAAAAAAAAAAAAAACAGGCAGGACAGTCTGAATGCAACACACTGAACAATGACCATGTGTAATACACATGGATACCCAAACAAGCACATGGGTTGCACTGGCACAGTTCTGACTGAGCTGTCAAACAAATGCTGCAAGCTGCGTAAACACACAGAGGTTGGTCTGGAACTTCGAAAAACCGTTGATCGGCGACGCGGCTTCGCGTTCTAATATGGCCATGGGTCAAAAGCCCGTACCCCCAGTGAACATCCCAATCCCCACTAAAATAGACTAAAATGGGTGGTGCAACTGCCCAAACCCACAGCCATATGGGTTCTGAAGTGTAAGGCAAGCTCACATTTCCTGTGAGCTGACCATAAACGCGCCAGGGCGACGGAGTCCCATCAGCTGCTGGGACCTTGGGCCGAGATGAGTCACAATCAAATGGTCTACCCAGAATCATGTAAAGAATTAAGAAGGCGGATATCCGCAGCTATTTATGGTCGCTTATGGTTGGGAGTGTCCGTTAACCTTCATCTAGCCGGGTTTTGATTGTGGCTCAGATCGAATCAGCCTTCGAAATTCGAAAGCTGCAGTGACCCAGTAGAGCTCGACGTGTACATCGGCCAGGGCCGGTCTGTTTTGCAAGGCTCCCCAAGGGAGATTCCTCTAAACATTGCCCGGCAGAAGTGTACATAGGCGGAATCCGGTTTTGTTCATTGGTGGAAACATAGAAGGGGTAAACCATGGTACAGCGAAATGACCAGGAGGACGGGTGATTTGGTTGTGGACCTGACCGAGCCCTTTCTTTCCTTAACATGAAACCCCGCACTGCACTCCAAATTACTTGTCCCCAGCAGGGACAAATCCCACAACACGCCACCTCAACTTTGGGTCAGTAAGGCGCACTCGGAGACAGAGCCTCAAGTGCATCTACATGGGTCCAAACATGTCGACACCATTACACTGCTTCCAGCAAACACTACGACAGCCTACGAAGAGTTAAATTGCTGCAGAGTAACACGAAACCCAAACATGAATCATCATGGACTAATCTCCCTTTGGATGGAACGCGCCATGGTACTTTGCAGGGGGGCCCGTTTAGTCAACCTCCATGCGACATCCTGCCCTGGCGCGGCTCCAGGGGCTGTGCTCTGCGGGGGAGCTTTGGCATCTGGCAGCCACGCCTCTGAGTCGGGACTCGTTTCGACTTCGGCTTTCTTTGCCTTCTCTCCGAGTCCGAACGCTCTAAAAGATTCCTCCCATCCTTGTCGAAGAACCTTTTGTGTGACAGTACCGTGGCTGATTCCGAGCTACTTTAGCACTTTCAAAGGGGACGCGTTTCGTATCACACAAATTGGCCCTAAAAAGCACTTGTCTACAAACCATACCTCTTCTGAGAAATCAACATGTCCTGGGTTGTGGCAGCTTCCCAAGAAGGGTCACTGAAAATGATGGGAGAAGGTCAGCTACAAAGATGCTGGAATGCTGCCGAAGCTGATTACTTCTTGAGACCGTTCCCAAGATTACCGAAACAGCAGCAAGACAGATCGGATTCGAACCTACGCTGCCTTAATGGCCAAGTTTGTTTAGCAAACAGCTGCTTCAAACCACACATGCCACTTTTCCTTCTACCTTGGTTCTCATAAATCCGCCGACCCTCTGCCTCCCGTCCCAGCCTCCTGCAGAGGGGGACCGGCGTGGGATGCAACTGGAAGTGATTGGAACCAATGAGACACGCCCGAACCCACAAAAAGTGGATTCCCAGGACCGGTCGGGACCGGTCCCGGGACCGGTCCTGGGACCAGTCCTGGGACTGGTCCTGGGACCCTGGTTCTGCTGTTTCAGATTACTTGTAGTCAGCCAAAACCGGTTCCGGGACCGGTCCTGGGACCGGTCCCGGGACCAGTCCCAGGACCGGTCCTGGGACCAGTCCCAGGGCCTGGTCCTAGGACCAGTCCCAGAACCGGGGTTTGGTCCTGGGCCTGGTCCTGGGACCGGTACTGGTCCCAGGACCAGTCCTAGGACCGGCGGACTGGTCGGACGGTCCTGGGACTGGTCCTGGGACCGGTCCCAGGACCAGTCCTGGGACCGGTCTGGGAAGTCGTGTGACCGCTGGTATTGGGTCCCAATTCAAACTGCTGTGCTGCCACCTCAAACCGCTCCAGACACGTTTCCGGACTGGCACCCAGGACACTGGACAGGGTCCCAGGTCGTCACTCCCTGCGACCAAACCGGCCCGTGCGGTTATTGACGTCCTTGTGGTAGTAGAGGATCCCTGGATCTATTCTGCAAGAGAGTCCAATACGTCAAGTCAAGCCGCGCCAGACTGGGACCAGCCTGGACAGGGTCCCAAGTCCCGGTCCCTGCCGGCGACCGGTCCAGGGCAACTTCGGGAGGGCCAGTTTCAGGGCGACCCCGGGAGAGGCGACTGCTCCCGGCCAACTCGAAGTGACTTGGGCGCAAGCCGGCCCAAGCGGTAATTAACGGACTAGCTGCCCTATTTCTGACTTTTCCGTTAATCCTTGTTTGTGGTCAACTTCGGGAGGGCCAGTTTCAGGGCGACCCGGGAGAGGCGACTGCTCCCGGGCCAACTCGAAGTGACTTGGGCGCAAGCCGGCCCAAGCGGTAATTAACGGACTAGCTGCCCTATTTCTGACTTGTCCGTTAATCCTTGTTTGTGGTCGTAGAGGATCTTATAAGTGGTCCCTGGGTTTGCGGACGTGTTTCAGGACCGGTCCTTGTGACTTTTCCCTTAATGCGCCGAGGGTCGGCGGCAGCAGGCGGGAGCCTGGTTAATAGTATGTTAGGCTTTGTTAACAGAGAAGACCTGCAGCCACAGGCCGACATGTAACACACATAAAACGCCACCCTGCAAAAGCCACCACAAACTATCAGCAAGTACTCTCAAGTCTGCTCTCTCTCTCTCTCTCTCTATATTATGTTCTTGGTGGGTGTTTCCTCGATTAGAGAATGCTCGTTTCTGATGGGTCCCATTTTGCTTCCCTTGAAAGCAGCCAGAACAGGGCTCCCCTCATCTTGCTTGGGCTCTCATGGAGAACAACAATCTCTGCAGGTTCGCTAGATAAATGCTGACCTCGGGAGAAAGCCCCTGATGTGGTGGATCATGGCGTGCTTCCCCCAACATCAGGATCAACCAGGGATTCATTTATCCTGGGCACCCTTTCTCCTTCAAGGGTCTTAGAAATGAAAACCGGGCGGGGGCACGCAAAAAGACAAAAAATGAGCGTGCGACGCCAGTTTCTCCAAAACCCAGGGGCGAACAGTCCCTTGTGCTTCCCGTGTGGGTGCGCTTTTAAAGGGAAAAACACGACTTTTTGAGGTTGCTTTAAAGGTACACCCAGCCACTGGTTGTACAACTCACCCGTCAGGCACGCGCGCCTCGGCTTGGCACCCTAGAGCTTACTGGATTTCGTTGTCCGGAGCTGTTTGAATTTACCGTCAGGCCGGTTCTCGGTGGCGAAATCTGCGAAGCCCTGCTAAAAGTGACTAACTTTTAGTGGTTTAACTGACATCCAAGCAAAATGCACCTCTGGGTTCATGATACATATACCTAGAGTCTCCATGACCCTTTAAAAATGGGGTCGGTCACAAACTATGAGAGTGAGAATCGGATAGATTCATCAGAAGTGAGCACACACTCAAGAACTAGGCACAAACCCGAGCGCTAGCAACCATCCATCCATATGAACGGATGAGCGCCAAAAGTTGCTAAACCAAGTATAGACAAGGGATGGTTTCCGCTGGGCCGATGTTTTGGCATCAATTTGGCTGTTGCTTTTAGGATTCGAACCTCCCCGGTTTTCTGTTTGGTTTCCCTTTAAAACTGCACTTGGTTTCCCTTTTCTGTTTAGTGCCCTCAAAAAGAGACACCCATTTGGACGACTTTGAGACCCTCTTTGACTGCTGCCTTTGAAATTTTTCTCCCGCCTGGCCTTCTCAAGGCGACCGCTGGAGTGCAGAATCGAAACCTGCGCGTTCGCTCGAACGCAGGTTCCAGAGGGCGAACCAGGAAACTCGGTGGCGAAATCTGCTCCCCTGCAAAAAAAATAACTTTTAGTGGTTTAATACGGAAAACCCATTAGTTGGCAAAACGTTAAAGTCCTAACATCCAAGAACAATGCACCAAGGAAAGTACTGTTGACCTCATATTTTCATCGCCCCCCATTTTATTCATAGGGGGGGTGGTTTTGGCCGCTCCAAAAGTGGTCTGCCACCTTGCACCCAGAAATGGACACCCCCGCTACATGGGGTTGAGTAATATGGGCTCAACATAGCCTT